TTTTTTTTTTTTTTGTATATCCAGTGGTTATCAGTCAGTTGCATTAATTGTTTGTTTTCTCTGATGCTCAAATTATTCCATCTTTGGCCAATGTGGGCCCTTTTGTGTTGGCTCCTGTCAGTCTTTAATAGCTTCTTTCTTTATAGCCTAACAAGTTCCACAGGAAAGTGCTCAGTAACAGAGTAATGAAACTGAATATACTATATGTTGAAGCAAAGCAAAAAGCAAGTGAGGAAGTAAACCATATGCATAATTAAAAATTCAATAAGACATAGGCCAGATTGTTCAATATTTTTTCTGGGTACCACAGTTTTAGGAAACTGTTATCCTTTTATTTTCTCTTTCCTTCTTTATACTCTTTTGCACTCTATCTAGATCCTCTGCGTTAAGAATTATTACTCTGATAATATCACAAAGATTAAGTTAAAATTTTAACAACCCCAACAGATTTCCTTTAATTTAGCAAGTTTCTTTAGTGCATTTAAAATAAGATATAAATTATTTTAAAAGATACTTACACCTTTTTTCAGAATTGTAAGTAGAGTAATTGTCCAGTTATTAACTATATCCCATATTCTCAAAGAGCTTGTAATGTAAAGAGAGAGGAAAAATAGATTAAAAAACATTTTTTTAACCACCTCCAGGCTACAAAATTATAATAGATGCCTATTTCTCTCATCTGTCCTTATAGATCTTAACCTTTTTATTCCTTAACAACAATTTGGAAACTATTTAGTAGGTACATTTCTTACAGCACTTGAGATGGGCCACAACTTCTGAGACTTCCTGGATCTGTGATATTCTTTCTGTATCCTTCATCCTGTGTGTTGACAGATTCAAGGCAAATGAACCACAAGAACAAAATAACCTATTCCTTGGTGTAAATCAAGGAGGAAATGTAAATTAGTCTCCTTCCCTATAGATGGTGATCAAAAATAGCCTTAATAAGGGTCAGTTTTACCCGTGTTCCACCAGGGACCATCCTGGGCCCATTGAAGTGGGATTTAAAATTATTGACCCCAGAAGGAAGTTATCCTATATTTTCAGATGGATCACAATGTATAAAACATGAAACGTGGTCCTTTTTTATTTTATTTATTTATTTATTTTTAAAAACTTTTTTTATTTATTTGAGAGAAAGAGAGAGAGAGAGAGATCACAAGCAGGGGGAGGGGCAGAGGGAGAGGGAGAAGTGGACTCCCCGCTGAGCAGGGCCTCAAGATCCTGACCAGAACCTAAGGTAGATGCTTAGCCGACTGAGCCACCCAGGCACCCCTGTTTTATGTTTTTTTTTAATGAAGTTATACTGACCATGAATAGTGAAGAAGTGTAAAAGCTCAATTATGTAAGCACTGAGGGAGGGTGTGTGTGTGTGTGTGTGTGTGTGTGTATTTTAAAAGAAAAACTCCTCCCTCTCCAGGGACTGACAGTCTTCACATGCTCTTCCTAAAGCCTTGCAGCAAAACTTCCCTCTGCCAAAACCAGGCTGAAATGTTCATGTTTTTCTCAGGCATTTTTCTGGAAATTTGAAACACTCCACACTTTTTGGGTAGATCATTCAGGATTTTTGTCATTTCCTGCCCTGAAATAGTTTCCTCATGGTGTCCTATTAGAATTTTTTGTAATTGATAATTTCTTTATACTAACATCATAAAAGCCATAATTATAAATATTGTAGTTATAAATCTATGGATCCACAGGACAAATTCAGCTAGTAGCGACAGGAAACAGAAGGCATACCCAAAGGGTTTAGCCGAAGTGGGTTTAATAAATAAATCTGTTTTTGTTTTTGTTTTTTTAAAGATTTTATTTGACAGAGAGAGAAAAAGCAAGCAGGGGGAGCTTCAGGCAGAAGGAGAGGGAGAGGCAGGCTTCCCGCTGAGCAGGGAGCCTGATGCGGGGCTCGATCCCAGGACCCTTGGGAACATGACCTGAGCGGGAGGCAGACACTTAACCGACTAAGCCATCCAGGCGCCCCAATAAATCTGTTTAATATGTGCTTGATCCATCCGCATGTAGTTTGGCACATAGTAAGATTAGACATGAGTAACCAAGGAGCATCTACTTGGCTTTAGTCTTCTTAGAATCTTAGAGTAAATGTGAAGGAAACATATTTTACATAGAATTTTGGGGAGGAGTATTACTTTCATCTGGACTAGCAGTTTGCTTCCAGCTGTGACCATGAAGTTGAAAAGGAGGAGGAGAAGAGAAGGGAAGGGGAGGGAAAGGGGGAAAGAAGCCTTAAACAAGACTTGCTGGAAAAATGACCACTTTTTCAGTGCTGCACGGAGGAAAATACCTCAGGTGTCACAGGCTACCAGATGACTCCCTGGTCCATGAACCTTTGTTGCCTTTGCTCGGGTCTTACTTTGCATAAGTTAAAGTTTGTTCTCTCTAGTAGGAAAATCAATGCCCTTTCCTTTCCAAACTAGATACCTTTGTTAGTGTTGATCTCATCAGACGAAATAAGTTGAATACCCCAAACTTCTCTGATAACTCACCGATTTTCTTGAGTATGGATTTGCTTTAAGAGGCTTGCCGGTTTGCGTTGTAAGTGATATTTACCCAACTCCTTTGGCTTATTTATAAGCTCCATCTGTATGGGGGCTGGGTATAATGCCTGGGGGCTGGGTCAATGCCAAGACTTAGCTTAACCAATGAAAGATTATGTCTGTATTCCCATTGTTTCTCCCTCAATATGAAGCACGATACTAGACAGTTAAGAGATGTTGGGGGAATACCAGTTTATGTAGTGATTCAGATGCTGTGCGAGGTACCAAAAGTTAAAGATTTATTTAGGTCTTCATCTTCTCAATCCCTTCCCCTGGAGATACTAGCTGTAAATATTGATAACTTGTGAAACACACATTTCAGGTAAAAAAAAAAATTCTGCTACCTTCCCTAAACTGCCACTATTCTAAGTAATTCTGGGTCCTAATTTTTAACCAGACCCTAGCACTTAATTCTTGACATTATTAGTACTGAAAACTTGGCTTATATATATTCCTTCTCATTTAACTCTGGCAAAATGATAGTAGAACCAACAAAGCACATTTGCTTTCTATTTAGTTAAATTATAATCTTGACAGTGTTTCTCAATACTGGAAATTGTTTGATTTTGTCCCCTTGAGTCTGAGTGTTTTCAAGAAAAATTGCTTTTTAGGTTAGAGACTCTGAAGCACAGACTTTTATTTATTTGGACCATTTCTCTTTCAAAAGAGGTAATTTATGGAAGTGACTCATAAGGAAATAATTCTAAAGGCAGTGGGTAATTTTGAATTAGACTGCATTTGCCTGGGTTTATCTGCTTGGGGATCGGAATCAAGAAGGAGCCCCTCCTGAGGCGATGTGCAGGCCTGCTGAGCCTTGTAAGAGTGCTGGAATCTGTCTGAGTAATTAGCAGCTTTGCCCCTTTAGAGGGGAGCTGGGCTTTCTTAGGGTTGCAGCATGGGACAAGGAAATGTCACAGAAAGGCAGGGACAATAAGCGATGAAAGAGCTGAGCAGTAACCACCAGGAGGGGCTCTCAACCCCCTCCTTCACAGCCAGAGTTTCTTCCAGAGTTTGGTAAGAACAGGGGACTCTAAGTGAGCAGCAAAGGCAGAAGGCATGAGCAGGGCACTAAAAACTACTTGCTTCCAGAAATGTACCAGTGAGGTCCTGTGGATACTAATATGTCCAAGAGGCAAAAAAAAAAAAAAAAAAAAGAAGAAGAAGAATATTCGGAGAAATTAATCATTTTACCAGTGCCAAGTTCACTTTGTTCCAGAAACTGGGGCTATTTCATAATAAAATCTGAAATGAAAGCCAAAAATGAAGCCTTGATTTTTTTAGATGGATTCTAGTCATCTTTATTCAGGCAACCAGTATATTTTATTCATGCCTAGTTCTGTTTCTGTCTTTATTAAAGCTGTGGAGTTGAAGAGAGCGTTTCACAGATGGCAAATTATTTTTGTTCCTTTAATATTCATAAAAGTGTAATAGTCCAAAAGGTATTAGTACTAAACTCTTTTTTTTTTTGTCTAATGAGTTACTAAAGTAGCTCTGCCATCAAAATATTTCTGTATAATAAAGAATTATTTAGTAATGAATATTTACCACTAATCGACTGTTTGGAGGAGACATACTTTAAATTCCCATACAATTCTCATCAAAGTATAAATGAATTAACCAACCATCATGAATATTTAATAAATATGAAAAGCATTTATAGGAGTCAGCAGTATGACTTTCCTGTTTGCCTCATAAGCATCTACTCAGGTCACTTCCTATCATGCATATTAGCTTATAATAATGATCATAGTAATAACCTATAACTTGAAAACTAAGGGGATATTTCTAATTTGAGTATCATTTTCATTTTACCAGTTTATCCCAGACAGGAAGATACTGGATTGATATATTTTGGGGTGGGTATGTATGCTAATAAAACAGGATACTTCAAAAAAAAAAACAAAAAAAACCCACCTTTTTTCCTGCTCCTTTGAACTCCAAAAGCCAGATCTCTTATCTATTAAACTTTGTTAACCAGTTGATGGGCCAAGTGATCAAAAACTGGGTGTGGTCAATAATATTCAAGTAACTTTTTTTTCCTAACACAAACAACTCTGAAGAGTTCACAGTAATGCCCTTGGGTTGCTGTGGTGAACTCTTTATTACTAACTGCATCAAAAAATCTATGGACAATTTTGACCCAAAAATATACTACCTGAAGTGTTAAAACAGACACACCTTTAAGTGTTGACATGAAAGTTATAGAAATATTTGTGGTCCAAAAAGCTTAGAAGGTTTTGCTTTAAGATATATTTTATGATAACTGTTATTTTCTTTGTTAACAAAATTGGCCAAAATATGGAAAATAAAAGGCAAGGCATCCGCAGGCATCCACCCAGGTCCTCATAAGCGGAGTACGTTTGTGTGAGTACACGTGTTGCATGGCTTCTCTTTGCCATCATTGATTTCCTCCTCCTCATTAAACACTTACTGATTCCTGTCTTCCAGATGACACAGGCTGTCCTAGCAGCCAATCGGTGTCTCCTGTAAAGACGCCCTCTGATACTGGAAACAGCCCTGTTGGCTTTTGCCCTGGAAGTGATGAAGACTTTTCCAGAAAGAAATGCACTGTTGGAATGGTTGGTGAAGGAAGCGTCCAGTCATCTCGATATAAGAAGGAACCAAAGTCAGGCCTTGTAAAGCCAGGTAAATGCACTTACTCTGCATGCTTTTCTCAGAACAGTATGACTGGAGTGATTTCACATTTGAAATGAAACACCTGTATATCAGGACAGGGAAATACAGTACTGATGCTATTTCAGTACCCAGAAACATCTCCCTTTTTTTAGGGAGGTAGGGCAGAGAGTGGAATGTTTTCTGTACTGATGGCTAATAATTGAATAAATATAGGGATGTGTGTGCGTTATAGAGGCATAGAAAAAGGAGCAAAGTTGGAGACATGTAAAGTGGATGGTCTAACAGACATTTAAACTATGTAATTCTAGCATAAATTTTACTAAGAAATTACTTGGTACCGTCTAAAGTGCCCACAGTTTATGAAAAGAACAAGTTATCTTGATGGGAATCTGTAGGTGAGCAGACTGACTAACCTAGTGACTTTATTTGCTTTTGAAGAATTAAATATGAGTATGATGTTATATGTATACATATAGATGTTCGACAGTTACAAAATATAAGACGAAATGGAGATTTTTATTGCATAAGATACCATGAATGCCAGAAAAGGTCAATTCTCAGAATTTGCAATATATACATAAATATGTTATATCCCAGAAATATGTGCAGTATATGAACAAGTATAGTTTTAATAAAACTAAAGTTATAACTTCTAAGTAAAAGGCCTTGAGCGTTGACATTGAGAGACAGCCTATATATTGCATTATTTTCTTCAACACCCACAGTTAATGCTGTACATATTTATGAGCCTGAAAAGACAGATTAATGACTTGCATGAGTCTTCATTCCTTACGTTTGTCTTCTCATTTTTTTGGTGATGGTATCATTGTGCAAGGAGCTATAGATGTTTTTTTTCAGTGGAGCCAAGGCTTGGTCTTATGTCCTCTTCCATCTCTGTCTGCTTTTGTTTTTCCTGAATAATTGATTTGCACAGCATATCTTAATGGATTATTCTTCATCTTGCTTTTGGTCAACCAAAGATAATGTTGACTAGTGTCAGAGTAAAACTTAAACTGTGTGAGAAGGAAATCTCCTCTTTCCTAGGCTCCTGATAAATGGTAGTCATGATGAATTTGTGAACAGTCCTTTGCTTTGAAATAATATGAAAAAGAAAGGGAATGATACACAGTGGGGAAGACAGCATATAAAAGAGAAAGGTGGTTATTGTAAAAAGGGTGTTGGATACCTTCAATACCTAAGACAGAGACAGTGAGTTAAAGAATGTCATGTGATTAGAGCCAACAAATAAACCATTACCTTGTGTACACAAGAACGAGAACTGCCTCCCTCCCTCCTTCAGCTCAGTGGTTCTTTTTTAAATTGAGATACAATTCACATACCATAAAATTTACCCTTTTAAAGTATACAATTCACTGGTTTGTAGTATATTCAAAATTATAGTTTTGAAAAAGTAGTTTATTCAAAAAATCTAATTTCAGAACATTTTTATCATCCCACCAAAGAAGCCCCCTTGCCCATTAGCCCCTCTCCACTCTCCCTTCCTCCCAGCCCCTGGCAACCACTAACCTGCTCTGTCTCTGTGGACCTATCCATTCTGGACGTCCCATAAACATGGAATCGTACTGTATGTGGCCTTTCGTATTTGGCTTCTTTCACTTAGCATAACGTTTTCAGAGTTCATCAGTGTAGCATGGATTAGAACTTCATTCATTTTTATGGCTCCATATTATTCCATTGTATGGCTGTACCACACATTAAAATGGACTTTTTTTTTTTTGAGCAATTTTATGTTTACATGAAAACAATGGAGAGTACAGAGAGTTCTCACGTACCTCTCCGCCACTGCCACCTCCACTTTTTCTTTATTAACATCTTGTCTTGGTGTGGTTATACCCCCCGTTTTGTTTATCCATTCAGAGATGATGGACATTTGTGTTGTTTCTGCTTCTTGGCTCTTATGAATAGTGATGCTATGAGCATCCGTGGAAAAGTTTTTTGCGAATATGCTTTCAGTTCTCTTGGGTATATGCCTAGGAAAGAGATTGCTGAGTCATATGGTAATCACGTTGAACTCTTTGAGGAACTGCCAGACTTTTCCAAAATGACTGCACCATTTTACATTCCCACCAGCAACGTATGAGGGCTCCACTCTCTCCACATCCTTGTTGACGGCTGTTACTGTCTTTTTTATTATACTTATTCTTGTGAGTGTGAAGTGGTATTTCATAGTGTCTTGATTTACATTTCCTCGATGGCTGATGACAACGAGCATCTTTTCGTGTGCTTATGGGCCATTTGTACATGTTCTTTGGAAAAGTCTTCTCAGTTTTCTTTTAACCTGAGAGTACTCACCAGTAGAGTCTGTTTCTCTAACATATGGGATGTAAGTTTAAGAGCAGGAGCCTTGTCATCCTCTTTCTATTCCTGCCACACAGAGTCCGGTGCATTGTGGCAGCTCGACAGCAAAGGTAGGTTATGAGATTGAAAAGATAAAATGGTGCAAGAAAGAATGCCAGCTTCATGAATTGCAAAGAAAGAGTGACTTCACTGTGCAGGTACTGTAGGGTTTGAATGCAACTTAAAATTATTTCATTTTGGTTTCCCACCCCCCACCTCCCACCTTATTCCAAAAACATTTTACAGTGGTGACAATACAAAGGAAACAGGGACACAGGAGACAGGTATGGTGCAGCAAGAACAAACTAAGATTAAATGGAAGTTAAAATTATCATTGCCCTTCCTTGTTTCAATAATCATAAGAGGAATAATCAAATGTTAACATAAGACTTAAAACCCTCTGTGTGTGTGCAGAATATTCACACTGAGCAAGTCCTTAATCCTACAGTAGGTACTCAACTTGCTAAGGATCAGCCACTTGTCTTGCTGAGCATGTTTAAGGCCTTAGGTCATCCTGAAGAAAATGTAGACAAAAAAAGAAAAAAAATGAAGGGAGGGAGGAAAGAAGGAAGAAAGAAGGAAGGACGAATGGACAAATGAGAGAAAATAAGAACAGTTCTTTGTGTTGTTTTAATTCATGGATCCTTTGAGAATCATGAAGGCCATGAACCCATGCTCCGGAAAAATACCCATACACACAAAATATCACTATTTCTGAGGTTTCTTGGACCTCCTTTCTTAGAAATTATGAATCCTAACTTAATGACCCTTTGCCCAGAGGCAGAACCTGAAACATCACTTTTGTCATACACCAACTTTTGTCACCAGAATTCTGATTTCCTTGCTCATAAGCATACATATCACCTCAGCAGCCCTTCCCACGCGGTGTTTTTATTTATTTTCATTTAATCAAGGTCGAAGGGATCCCTAAAGCTTCTTTCTTAGTTGCCTAAAATTCCTAATGTCATCAATGAAAAAGTTGCTTGAGCTTTTGAGGGGGACCCAGTTCTGTACAGTAAGCTCTTTGTAGAGAAATCTGTACCGTGACACATAGTTCTCTGAACTTTCAGCAGAATAGACCTGTCAGTCTCATAAATATGAAGAGAGGAAATCCTGGAAATGAGGCCCCTGGATGACTCCACAATTTATAAAATGCAGAGACATCATCTGTTAAACCACAAGAAGATAATGCTCTCAGTTTAAAATGTTCTCCCTCCTCCCCAGCCCCAAGTGACCGGCTCCCCTCAGCCCAAACCCATCCTCAGCTCTCCGTGTGTGCTCTACTTTTTTAAAATAAATCAACTCATTAGAACCAATACCAGTTTATTAAAATAGCAAGTAATTAGTGTCTCTCATACAGATGTTCTGGGCCTCTTTAACGTTAAATAACCCAAGCCCATTTAATTTTAGGTCTGTTGTTCTAGATTCTGGAAAACTGCTCTTCACCTCAAAAAGGAGTTCTTGAAATGCCCCTTTAGTCATTCAGATAAAGAGCTAAGATGCTCACTGAGCATCTGATGCAGAAGGAGAAGGGAGATCTGTCACAGGATGCTGGGAAAAGCTTAGGAAGGTGGGCTGAGCAGGCCTGCACCTTGCCAACTGGGCACCGTGTGCACACAGCATGCCAGATCTTCCTTCCTCAGGCAGGGCTTGTTCAGGAGCTTCTCGGAGGTGGTGAACCTTCTGTCACTTTGGCTTCCATCACTTAATGCCTATGCAGATTCAATTAAAAATTGCCACCAAAGAGCAGAAGAAAACATCCCTGCGGTCCAGCTGGATAATGGCTTTGCATTTTCATGGTTTCCTTTTATCTACCAGTCAATTCAGGGAACACTCAAGACAGAATCTCCAGAGCCTAATACAGTGCCTGTCATAAAGTCGGTGTCCAGTAAATACTTAAATGAGAAATACAGTGTACACCATATACAAGGAATTGTGTTTGGCATGGGAAGAGCGTCGGAGAGACAGGGCAAAGAAGACCTCAGTGTCAGCCCTGCGTTTAGGGAGCTTATAACTGAAGCAGAATAGTGTGATAAATTTGGCCTATGGTGCCTATCAGAAGGAAAGGAATGAAGGCATTCCGTCTGGGAGCTCTGAGGACTCCGCAGTGGAAACAATCCTGCTCCCAGGTGCTCCTCTCAGGTTTGGTCTGCAGTCTTCCTGACATTTCCACCCAGAACCGCAAGGCCTGACTGCATTACTGCATAGTACATTAAATGACATTCCTGGGCCTCCTTTAATGTGGGTTTACCACTTGGTGTAGCTTAGTCCAAGGAAGAAAAAGACCTGGTGGCATTATTTTACAGAAAGAAAAACTAAATCCTTTCTCCACAAGGCTTGAGGGGGAGCTGGGGAAACAATTACATGACTTAAACAAATCATCAGAAGACAAGAAAAGGAGGAAAAAAACACCAGCTGATCGAGGAGACAGATAAAGAGGAAATGGTTAGGGTCACTATAATTTAAAAGAAATCCCCTTTTAGAAACTGAAATGTTGAAATCTGCATTTGAAAGATGTCACTGTGTGCCATCAGCATTCAAACTAAGGTAGTATTCCCTTGTCATAACCCCACCGGGTTAAGGGAATTGGAGACCTGGCCAGGTGAACTATAATAACCTCACAACAATAACAGAGGCCTGGTTACTTTAAA